CGATCCAAATTTACCGTATTTACCGTCTGTGTTTCTGGCGCCTAAAGCAGTAACACCTGCAAATGTAAAATAACAAGACACAGCTGAGCTGAATGGAGCGAAAACTAGGATAGGAAAATGAGCAAAGCGTTGCTAAGAACGCCACTAGCCCACGCAAGGAAGGGACTACGTTGGTGATCGCCTTCGTGATCGTGTTTTAGCAATGGGTACACAAAACATGAAAAGCAGCATTACCAACACCCAATGATGCAAAATATGAGCACAACCTTGACCCCCAAGTTAAAGAAGGTGCAGATAAGCTCAATGGAATCCTGATTGGTTCGTCGGCACGCCAGGCTTGAGAGTGTGCAGCAAGTCACAAATAAACAAATGCATTCAAGAGCCACGGATTTGGTTGGACACATTGTAGTATTGTATCGAAGGGTAAGGGGACTAGGCTTAACCGCTAAATAAGCACAAAATGAAAGTAGGCAAAAGGTAGTTGCATACCATACGATTGTGGTGGTAATACAGCGTAAATGATGGGACATCGTGAATATGTTCTGTACCTATGCAAATCGAACGCATATCTACTGAGAATGGAAGGAAGTGGCCCAATGTACATAAGTTCAAGTTTGTTTTAGTCAGTTTTAAGTATGTTGCAGAGTTGCTAATCTTGGGATTTCCTGATTAGTAAATTTGCCATGCTAGTAGCCATAGCTTTGATCTGTCATACGATTTAAGGCGGAGGCTATTTCGATATAATGAAATCTGATTCTTTTTCTGGATTTACGATCAAATCGAAGGCAGCTCGCATTAGCTGGGGTAATGGAGAGTGATTCAACTAAGGAAGACCACAGTGATAAAGTTCACAGCTTTTGAAGCGTACTGGGTTTGGTGAGCTGGAACAGGACTGTGTAGTTTCGAGTAAGGAGTTAACCCCTGATAAAATAACCAAAACTGAGTGGTGCAACTTTATTGTCTCTCCATCGGTTTCCAAAATGGCTGCTGCACAAATTGACCAGTGGGTGCCGGCTGACAAAATTTAATTAAAATTGCCAAATTTAGCCGACGAATGCCAACTGCATGTTTCACTTAAGCTTTGCATCATTGAGGAATCACTCCAGCAAAAGACCTGCTTCCATGTGTCACGTCAAAACATTGGAGCGATTGATAAATACATTAAATTCGCAAAGTGGTTTTGACATCACGGGCCTGTCTCACACACCTGAAAAATTGCTCCAATACGCTTTCAATTGAAAAGTAGCATTAAATGTAAAGGCACCAGAATGGGAAAATTTGGTAATAAATATTCACGGAAATACATGAATGCTACAATTCTACCAACTGTTTATAAGCGCCACTGTTTTAAACTGCAACTGTACTCCATTTAAGACCGTTTTGGATTAAAGTGGAGTGCAAACCGCACCTTTTTTCAACTTTTCTTAATTTCGTTCTCTTTTACTTTGCTTCAACTGCAATGCTTTGATAGTTTTATTAACTCTGCATTTGACCACCTAAGTGTCCGCGGATTGTACCTCCGCTCTGCGGCATGGCCTCCATCGTAACTTACCGTGACTGCATGAAAGACTTGAGACGCTGCATCAACTTTCAGAATATGCCTCTTGCTTGATTGCTTTAGCGAGTGCCTGGATCCAATCGAACAGTCCGTTCTTAGAATGGACTGTTGGTCGAGACGTGATTGTGCAAGCCTTACTAGCGCAGGTAACTATGAAATAAACGGAGGAGTTGAGTAAATAGCCCCTCCTGCTATACCATTTGCATTTCTAATTAAAAGGCAAAGTAAGCAAATATTGGAATGGCTCAGTTTTCAGAATACAATGCACAACAGTACTGAAACAAGTGATTCAAACTGTACTCAAATTTCAAACAGTCAGTACTTGAAAAATGGTCATTTTAGTCATCATTCAGATCGAGCAACGAATGACAAAATGAAAACGCGTAACTTTTAAGCCATGTACGCATCATACGTCAATGGGTCGAAGTAGAACTGATAATGAAGTAAAAAATGCTGTG